ACTAATTAATTTTTTCTTGATTTACGTGCCGGGAAATATCTCCTTACGGTTTTAGGGGGCATTTTAGTCCTTAAGATCCAAATTGATCTCGAAATTGGCAAAAAAAACATAAATACCTCGATTTACGTGTTATACAATATATACTTGTATTAATTCGCTTGTCATTATTTTTTTTTTAGCCGCGAAATAAAATTGTTCGGGTTGGGTTTTAGGGGTCGGTTTATTCTTTAAGGAACCAAATAAATTAAGCTCCGAATTTGCAAAAAAAAAAAATGTAAATTTCTCGTTTTGCTTGTTAAAATCGACATTATAGGACACGCAAACGAGGTACTTATGTTATGTTTTTTTCAAGAGCTTAATTTGGAGCCTTAAGGGCAAAACTGATCCTAAAACCTTACCCGAACAAATTTCGCGACAATAATATTAATGTCATGGAAATAGATACATTTTATGACACGCAAAACGAGGCACTCAAGTAATTTTTTCTCAAATTTTGAGCTCAATTTAGACCATTAAGGACTAAAATTACCCCAAAAACCTTACCGAAACCATTTTCGACACGAAAAACGAGAAAATTTTAATTAACTAACCATTAAAGGAAACGTTTAGTAGTACCAATAGCTATAAGTTTAGAGTTTGATAGGTAGTAAAATAAAAATTAATTTTAGATGGGTACCATCAAAAATCAAAGTAGGGTTTTTTGGTGGTACCAAAAGTCAAAATTTGCTTAAATTAATTAATTAACTAAAAATCCTCCGCCCCTCCTCGGTAGCCCCAACTGTAACACCTCCAAAATAGGCAGCAGGTCTTGTATGGACCCGGTCTACATAAATTATTGTAAACCCAATGTTTGACACTCTAAAATAATATAGTCACATTTTAGATAATATAATCACATTTTTTAGATGATATAATTATCTTGTTGTGAGTCATATTTTAAATAATATAGTCGTATTTTAAACAATTTTGTTAGATGATATAATTATATTTTGGATGATATAATTACTGGTCGGGATTATAATACTTTGGAGGGAAAAAAAGTTTCATTTTAGTATAGTTCTATAGATAGTGAAATATAGAATTTCATAAATCAATTTCGCTTAAAGCACGCAGACCAAAAACCTGAAATTTCCGACTAGGCACGGACATGCCTCTTTTTGGCATGGATGTGTCTCGTTCAGTACTTCGTCAGTAAATTTTCAGCATCGTCAGTTCTTCATAAATTGGTAATGACTTTTTCGTTTCTTATCAAAAATAGGCATATGACCTTTCATTAGAAAGACATTGAAATCAACTATCACCTCCAACTTGAATCACCTCAAATCAATTATAGTTTTATAGATATCTGCGTGCAAAGTCAAGCCTACTAGATTATTAGTCACAAAGTAACTAATTTCCACCTTGACTTGAAATCGATCAAACAAGGTAACTTCACCTTAAACCAAAAACCAAGAAGTAATGCTTATGAGAAAAGAAAATATATAACCTCCACTTTTAGAAAAATTCCATAAGCCTACTCACTTTAGGCAATTGACAAAACAGACATACCATCTTCCATAACTTGTAATGGTGCGTCTTTGAACACATAATTCCGTACAAGAAACCATCACATGACCTATATTGAGAGTATAATGCCCCAACACCAAGCATGCTTATCAAAATAACCAAACTTTCTTCAAACACTTCTTGATCTCAAAACCAAATCAAAAATTTAAGTAGTTCTAGAAAATAATAAATTATATCAAGAATTTCAAAATTGCAATTGTACATAACAAATCACAAAGTACCTAATTAGGATGAGAAATAGCATAACTAGAACAAAATATAATGCATAATCAAGATTGCTACTTTATTACAAACGAAAAATAAAAAAAAAACAGCCTACCATAGACTCAATACTAAAATCCACATGGTTTCTCGTTTCACCAAGAGATCTCAAAAAGGGCACTTATCATGAAGAGATCGTAAAAACCACTATCAAGAAACTTGTAACAACCCTAAAGCGCAAATTGCCATCAAGGTTGGTGTTGGCAATTTTTTCGGATTGTCCTCATTGGACTTCTCCTCATTCTTCTTCTTTAATTTCCAACACTTGTCTTTGATATGACCCTTCACGTGACAATAGTTACAAACTTTTTCTTTACCAAAGTTCTTACTACCATGAGCGACCAAAGCATTAGCTTGAGCAAGATTATTGGATTATTAACCAATTTATTATTATTATTTAAATCTCTTTGAGTTAAGACATCCTTAACATCCGCAAGCCCAAATCATCTCTTCATACAATAAAGTATCTCAAAAGTGCTTATTTAAAGGCGATAAAGTATCTCGATAGTGACAGGATCTAGTCGTATCACCTAATCAAAAATAATTCCTAAGTCCTCTAACTAAAGTAGATAGGGAAGTAGGGTCGAATCCACAAGGAAACAATGTTCTTTTTTTCCTAATAAGTTATTATAATCTAAATTATCAAGTAACCAATTTGTATTTGTAGGAATTAATCTAATAATCAAACTAAGCAAATAAAATAATGGAATAATCAATACTAAAATATCTAGGGTATAGGTTCACCAATAAATAATACTCCAGGGTAGAAATAACAATCAATTATCAATGCATAAATTAATCAGATTATAAAGGGTTGTCGCTACGTATTATAATCACATAATTAATCTACTGGTATTAAATCTCATCTCTCGAATCTCGACCTAACCATTAATAGATTAATATGCCTATTGAAACTAAGCCTAAACATCAATTATCATCTCTCGAATCTCGAATCAATATTGCAAAACTCATACAATTAAACCTGGCCAAATCTAATTGCATAGTATTAAATCAATCAATAGGAAATTAATCAATCATCAATAATTAACAATAAATTATTCGTTCGTATTATTCATGGATCCCCACAACCCTAGAAATAAAACTACTTGTACATAATTAAAACTAAACTAAGCAAAGCAATTAAATTAAGCACAATAAAAATAATAACAAAATAAAGAAAACAATAGTATTAAAATAATAAAGCATAAGAAACTAAGCCTAAGAAACTAATACTACTCCTATTCCCCCCAACTTACGTCCTGCTCCCCCTTTTATAAGGGTGTTGTTAAACGTCGTTCGCATTTTACTAGGTGACGTTCACATTTTTTACATGAATTTCCTAAATTGCCCTCCGTATATAAATACTCGATAAAGTAAGTAAGGGCTTTACGAGACATTTCCCATCTCACAAAATCACTCTTTGACACTTTCTCTCTCTAAAACCTTCCAAAAAATCTGAAATTTTGAAAAAAAAAATCAGAAATTTTTTTTTTTTAAAAAAAAACCAAAATAGTTGAAGGCTACACAAACACAAGCAAATCTTGCAATCAAACGTTGAATCCGACAATGGCAGACCGACGGAGAATTAGGCTGACGTTTGGTGGTCGTGGTGGCAGCGTTAGCGGCGGCGAGCCGGTGAGTTTTTTTTTTTGTTTTAAATTTTTGAATTTTGAAAAAAAAAATTCTGGACAAGGGGACTTCCGCCCAGAAATTCCGGAAATCCAGGGGAACTTCCGAAAATTTCAGGCGGAAGTGGGGTTTCCGCCTGAAATTTCCGGAAGTTCCCCTGGACTTCCGGAATTTCTGGGCGGAAGTCCCCTTGTCCAGAATTTTTTATTTTTTTTTATTTTTCTATTATTCCCCCTTTTTTTTTCTGTTTTTCCCTTTTTTTTTTTTGAATTTTGTGTTTTTCTGTTTTTCCACCTTTTTTTTTTGTTTTCTGTTTTTCCTTTGTTTTTTAATTTATGTTTTTCTTAATTTTTTTTTGTCCTCGATTTTGTTGATTTGGTGCATGTTTTAATTTGAAAATATTTGTGTCCTTCATTTTTTTTTTGAAGTAATTTGTGTCCTTCATTTGTGGCATTAAAATAATTTTTTTCTTGATTTAGTTTTGCAATAGTTATTGATATGTAATTTTTGTTGATTTAGTTTTACAATAATTATAGTTTTACAATAATTATAGTTTAGCATTAAAGTAAGTTTGTTGTTGCTATGTATTGTTATTGTTATGTAAATTTGGTTTGGTTTGTATTGGTTTTTGCTGCTGTTGTTGTTATGTATTATGGTTGTTTATTTAAATTGTTGTTATTGTTATTGTAATTGTTTTTTTTATTGGGTTGTCGTTGTTGCATTTAAATTTTGGCAGTTTTGTGGTTAATTATAGTTTTGATTTGGTCTGTTATTGTGTTGAAAAAATTATTTGTAGTGTGTTAGTGTGTTGTTATTGTTAGTAGTGTATTAGTATTGTAAGAATAATATTATTGTTATTATTTGTTATGCTGTTATTATTGTTTATTTGATTTGATTTATTATAGTTTTGATTTGATTTTTTTGACTATGAATTATTATTGAAATATGATTCTGTACTTATTTTTTTAATGCAGATTGAGGGTTCTGGTCCTCGTCATGCAAGATCAAGACGTTTGAATGCGTCTGTTAGGAGGGAGTTAGGTGGTGCAGGACCTTCACATGCACCGTTTCAGCATGAGCAGCAGTATGGGACTGCTGGTGCTTGGTCGGGGGAGCACCAGTCACAGGGGAGCGCCCCCATGTATTCGTCTACTGGAGTGCCTTCATCAGATGAGGATGAGGATGAAGATCGAGGAAGTCAATCTGCTGGAGATGCACAATACGACCCTCAGGATTACCGTACTGTGTATAGGGGTGACCATGGGAGATATGTTAGCAGTAGTGAACCAGGTCAAGCTTCTACCAGCTCGTCAGAGTCATGGGTGGTGCAGGAGCCGATGCCAGGTGGGTCTGAGGATGGTACCGTTATTCCGAGTTTTGGGGGTCACGTGTCTGCCTACATATGGGGTGGGCAGGAGCGAAACGTGCTGCGGTGTTTGAGCAGGACACAGTTGTGTTCTGAATTGGGTAACTGACGCGCTCGTCTTCCTCCGGAGCACCTGGAACTGATTGATGGCACTGGTCTATCTCATTTACCCGGGATCATGTTCCGGCGATTTGACTGGCCCTTAATTTCTGCTTTTGTTGAGAGATGGCAGCCAGACACGAACACGTTTCACATGCCTTTTGGGGAGATCACGATCATGCTGCATGATGTGTATCATATTCTAGGGCTTCGTGTCGACGGTTCCATGGTTTCCACTACTCCTAGCACGGACGTTTTACGGGACGCGTGCTCGGTTACCTTGGATATGACTGAGGAAGAGCTGAATGAGAAGTGCGGTACCAAAACCGTATGGCAGGGTAGTGGGGTCCTGACTGAGAGGATAGTGGAGTCGACCTTGGAGGCGCAGAGGCCCTTCAGTTTCCATTACAGGGCGTACCTGTGGTTAGTACTCGGCGGTTGTTTGTTTTTGGACAAGGGTGGAAACCGTACTCATCCTTCCTTCCTCAACGAGCTGTTTGTTGAGGATGTTCATATTAGTGAGTACTCCTGGGGTTCTGCTGTGCTAGCATACATGTACCGGCAATTGGGTACAGCATCACGAAGAGATGCTGATTCTATCGCTGGCTGCCTTACGCTTCTGCAGGCGTGGATCTACGAGTACTTTCCGTGTTTCCGGCCTCAGCATGGGACCTTGACCAGAGAGCTTGCTATTCCTCGTGCGTCCGCCTGGGATGTTGGATCGGGGTGCCCTAACAAGAGCATGGAGCGCCTTCTCGCTTTTCGGGCTAGGTTGGATCTTCACGGCCGAATGTTGGCTCTCAACTCTGCAAGTGCTGGTGTTGCCATAATGTAGAACTTGGTTTGTCCAAAATGTCACGAACTTCGTTTTATGAAAAAGCCATGTGTTCTCTACATATTGTATCACTGCTGGAAAACTTGCCCACTTATCTTTCATGTTTTCTACAGCGGCCTCATAATCTTCCTCGGTTGCAGCGTCCATGATACGTTTCCATTTTCCGTTTTTGAAAGACGCACCGATTTTTTTGCTTTTGAACATAGCAGTGACCCGAGCCTCCACATCTTTGTTAATGTGCCATCGACAAAGTAAGTGCGAGGTTCCTGGAAACACTTCCCTCAATGCAGCACATAGCCCAAGCTCACGGTCTGTCAAGAAAACCGATGGCTCCTTATTATACCCAATCACGTCTCTCAACCTCTGCAAAACCCATCGATATCTTGCCGTGCTCTCGTTGCGCATGAACACGTAAGCGACGAGAAAATTCTGATTTGTTGGTGTCACGCTAACTATCTCAAAGAACGGCATCCCGTATCGGTTAGTCTTGTAAGTGGAATCCATACCGATCACATAGGGGTACGTCCGTAGGATGTCTACCATGACTGGATGCGCCATAAAGGCGTGTTGTAAAACGCCTTCATCATCGGACATGACCCAGTAAACATACTGACTCTGTCTCGCCAAATGTAGAAATTGCTGAACAACTCCTCTCCCATCAGACATCTCCTCTCTGAAGTCATTTCGGCAGTTGTAGATGTGTCTGATGCTTGGATGATCATCAGGAAATTGCTCCGCAATAGTCCCCATGATGTTACGCGGTGCAACCTTAGACTTCGTCATGTCACGCACAACCTGCTTCGCATTCGGGCTCAACCCACTAATTTTACGATGACCCTCTGGATGCGCAATCATTGGATGGTTGTGGGTCCCAGTTACATCATCTTTCACCCGGATAAACCAAGTATTGGTGACGAACTCGTAACATATCTTGATGTAGAAAAGACAACCAATACCCTTGGTTTTGGTGTCCTTCCGAATTGCGTTCTCAAGATCTCTCGGCTTACTCCTGCGTCCCCGGTCACATCTTAAATATCGAACTGGTCGACCATCCCTCTGTTTGTTGAAAGACGATTTCACCAAAATAAATCCCAGATTTATTGCAACAGCATCCGCCCATGTAACTGCATCGTCAAACGTTAGAAAAACCGTGTCTGTCACAAAATGTGCACTGTAATTCACAACGTCACCGTCGTCTTCAACCTCCGAATCCTATCAAAATAACAATACAAACAAATAAAACACGCAAGGATTACTATTTTAAATTTAACAATAATAATAACAATAATAATACAAATAATAATAATAATAATAATAATAATAAAAATAACAATAATAACAATAATAATATTAATAGTATTAACAGTAATAATAATAATAATAACAATAACAATAATAATACTAATGATAATAATAATAACAATAATAATACTAATGATAATAATAATAACAATAACAATAATAATACTAATAATAATAACAACAATAACTATGTAACATTAACAAATAATAACTAATATAATAGTAATAATAATAGTAGTAATAATAATAGTAGTAATAATATTAATAATAATCATAATCATAATCATAACAGAAATTTACAAAATTAACAAAACTAATATTAATAACCATAATAATAATAATAATAATAATAATAATAATAATAACAATAACAATTACGTAAAAAAAAAAAACAAAACAAAAAAACAAAAAAAAAAGGACATCCGCTTGTTTTTTCCGGAAATCTGGGGGAGATCCGCCCAAAATTTCCGGATGTCCCCAATTACATCCGGAAATTTCATCCGGATGTGTACATCCGCCTGAAATTTCCGGATGTTATTGGGGACATCCGGAAATTTTGGGCGGATGTCCTATTTACAAAAAAAAAAAAAAATTCCGAAATACTTACAGATTCTTCCGTCGAACCCTCCGGCGTGTGAACGTTGTCGTCGTCCATCGTAAAACATCACTCCGTACACTTTCCTTTTCTGGCCCGGGATTTTTAAATTCCTCGGGATTACCGTACACTGGTGGAACCGGGATTTTTTAATGCTCGGGATTTTTTTAACACAAGTGGTGGGCTCGGTAATGTTTTTAATGTTGTCGGTAACTAAATTTACCCATGGTGGACCCTTAAATAGATAAAATACCCACAAGGGCAAAAATGTCATTTCAATTAAAAATGTGAACGTCACCCAGTAATTTGCGAACGACGAATAGCAGTTCAGTTTTATAATGGACTAGAAAAAAAAAAGTTTATCTAAAGTTAAAAAACCTAAGCCTATTGAAACTCATGATTATAAGCAAATGCGTGAAATTGGAGCAATCAGCAAAAGCCGGAAACCAACATAACGAAGTAGCCCAATAAAATTGCAGGCCCAAAATCAATCAGAAAGCCCAATGCTAAAGATGTCCGCCTGATCGGTCCAGCAACTGCCCAACCGGGCCCGTCAGCTGGAAGCCATATTTACACTTGGGCTTTAGAGTTTCTTAGCCCACATTCCTTCACTTGTTGGTCCGTATTTATTGTGGGAATTTTGCACCTTGTCCACTTAATCGAGCCCTTAATCACCAAACCAAATTTCTTTAACTCGGTTTTGGGCTTTAAATATACGGTCATAAAATATGATCGGAATGCTTTGTAGTGACTCAATAAGCTCGGAAATTATCATAATTCTGCAAATTCCTACAAAATAATACCAACTCTACAAAAACACTAGAAAACGTATATTAGTAATAAAAATAGCTCCGTAGAGCTCAAATAAGTACAAATATGATCGTGGAACGGGGAATAAAAATATATATAAAATAAACTCATCAGATAGTCATATCCTCATCATGGATCTTAACATCAATGTTTTTCAAATCAATAATAATAGAGAAGAATTCATCTAAATAAGACTTGAGCGGTTAACATTCTTCTAGATGAAGATCACGAAGTCTAGATTTGAGTAGTAGACATTTGGTCACACTCTTTGTCATATAAAGTGACTGCAACATCAACCATAAACCCGCAGTAGTCGTCTCCTTGGCAACGTCTCTCAAAACTTCATTAGAGAGACAAAATTGATCGAATAGCCAAAAGAGCTCGAAGGCTTTTTTTATACTTCTTCATGAGCCTTGTGACAACTACTTAGAACCAAGATGACTTTCATCTTAGCTTCAATTGTCATAGGCCAAAATTCCCTAACCTATTGAATTTCTCAATGTCGAATTTCATTGACATAATATAATCAAAATAGTCTATAAACACCTATCACCTAAAGCCTAAAATCTGGCACTAGATACCAATTTGTTAGGAAATAAGGGGGTAATTATGTTTGATTAATACGGAACTAGTCATTGAAAAATAAGATCGAGAAAAGCAATAAAGTGACGTGGATTAAACCATAATAGGGATACTAGCAATTGGGGTAAAGCTAATTCAATAAAGTTTTGATCTTTTCGACTTAAACAAGAAGAAAAGCAACGATTAGAAATCAATTCGATTCACTCAAACTAACTCACAATTTTTATAAACTCAATAACATTCTACTTTCTCATCAATGAAAACAAATATTTATAGGCAAACAATCCCATACCGATAGAATAAACAAACCTAAAAGATAAAACTAAATCATAACAAACTCTAATATCTCTAAAAAAAAAAAATATTATTCTAAGTAAATCGTACAAATACAAAAAATAAATCCAAAATAAAATAAATCTAAACTCTTAAACTCTTAATTCTTAATCTGCATCATTCTCTCCCTCTTATAAAAAATAAAATAAACAAACTTAGCCTTAAATTTTCTTGCAAATGACTACGAAATCATCCAAATCAAACGAACATAACATGAAAATATATTCTCTTTGAAGGTCATTGTTTCTACCTCTCCTAATTTTACCACCAATTCCACTTTTTAGTGTAGTTGCTTCCATATGCAAACAATTAAAATAATTAGGAAAAGATATATCATGACCAACCAAGTCTAACTTTCTCACATAAATATGTTGTATAGCTCGGATCTTCTGTTCATCTCGATAAGTTGCTTGAGTTGCATCAATTAATGGATAAGACAAAGCCAAATTAAATCTAATTCATCATCTAGCACCTCGATTTTCATCTTCATCTTGCATAACCCAAATTGACCCTGTTCATAGAATTAGAGTCAACTAACTCTATCTTATGTACTTTTGTTCTTTCGTACCCTTGCATCTTGTTATAACAAATGTGTGCAATGGAACGATTTAGGAACTCACCCTCAAAATACAAAATAAAATATATAGCAAAACACGATAATAAAAGAGACAATGTTTGTGAGGAACTTTAGATTTCTTCCCCTCAAACAAAAATATTGTTTTATTAAATTCCTACAAAATAAGATAATAACCCTTTTGATGATTTTCCTCCTCAATAAACCACCATTATTTTCACCCTATTGATGATTTTCCTCCTCAATAAATCATCAATTAATTAACCATCATGGTTTCTAGTAAGCCTAAACCCTCTTATATAGGCTAAGCTAGAAACCCACATCAATTAGGATATTTTTCTTTCTCCCCAAGCCTAAATAATCAATTAATAATCAATTAGATTGATTATACATTCATAAAATCTATCTAGCTTCCTAATTAAAAACTTCATCTAACTAGAAAAGCACACAAGAAAGAAATAAAATAAAAGATACTCTATATCTTTTCCCAAAACAAATCTCATCGATATTTGGTAAGTTTAGTATTTCCTAACACATATCAACCAAAATTTCTAGTAATTTTTGTGTTACTTGTTGCAATTATTGATTCATTTCTAACATACTCTCCATATGTGTTATAAGATCAATTTTGTCATCCATATTGAACAACAAATTGCAGTTACAAAGAACACGTCCAATAGCAAGCAATCACATAATAGACAAACTAATCCAGTTTAATAGCAAACGTTTTCGAAAAATTCTGAAATTTTGTATGTGAAAACTAAAAACACCCATATTCAAAAAAGAAACACCTTAAAAGCTTTTCTAATGAAGGTGAACGAAGCAAAACAATTATGAACCCTAATAAAAACCTAAATTGTTCCCCAAATATACTCAATAACTCAGATAGTCGTCATAAAAAAATAGTATTAAGATATATTCCATAAAACAATTAGCTTAAATCTATAGGACCAAAAAACTGAAACTACATACTCGTGCCTGGTCTAGTCTTTTATCAGCAAATTTCCAACATTGTTAGTTCTTCGTAAAACGATCATAACTTTCTCATTTCTTATCGGAATCGGGCATATTACCTACCATTGAAAATCTATTGAAACAAGCCACCACCTACAACTTGAATCACCTCAAAATAAATTATAGTTTGAAGAAATCTGCATTCAAAGTCAAGCCTACTAGATTTCAAGTCACAAATCAATTGTTTCTAATCTTATTTTACTGCTTGATCAATTAACCATTGGTAAATTGGTCTGACTTCTCCTTCACCAATGCGTTGATTCCAAATGACATTTTAATTTAATTGTCTATTCTTTCCTTATAGTATTATGATTCAAGTCCATGATAAGAATCTTTGGAAATCTCTTAAATTAAGGCCCCATTTGGTTTGGTGTAAAATGTTTTCATGGATAATATGATTTTCCCATATTCTCCTATTATTCTTTTTTTGGTTTGTGAAAGGTTGAAAAACAATTTTCCCAATTGTGGTAAATTACACCCTTTATGGTGGAAAACAATTTCCTTTGTAAAGTAAGAGAAGCTACATTTTCCTCTTCTTCCTTACCTTCTTCTTACATTCCACTCATCCACTGTCACCTTTCTACTCCTATTTTTTATTTCTTTGTACCTTTTCTTGTAAGTAACCAAACAAAGTAAAAATAATTTACAATTGTGCTTTTTCCTGAAAATATTTTTTTCCATGAAAACTATTTTTTTTGTTGAAAATGTCTTACATTATATTGGCCCTGTTTGGTTTAATGTAAAGTATTTTCAATGAAAAAATATTTTCAAGTAAAACCACACTTGTAAGATAGTTCATTTGTTTGGTTCTTACAAGAAAAGTTAAAGAGAAATTAAAAATCAGATTGGAAATGTGGGGATTGGACGGATGAGAGGAAAGTAAAAAGCAGGTAAGGAGAAGGGAAGAAAATGTGTCTTCCCTTATTTTGGAAAGGAAAATGTTTTCCACCATTATGGCTGCAATTTTTCACTATTAGGAAAATTATTTTTCACCTCTTCACAAACCAAACAAAATAAAATGGGAGATAATGAAAAAATTATTTTCTATTGAAAACATTTTACACCAAATCAAACGAGGTTACCAAATGGGGCTTAAATGTAAAGACGACTTGTTAAGGGTTAAAACACTAAATTGGAGAAAACTCTATGCTTCTTTGGAGAGCCTTGGAAAAATCTTTTTCAATATTAAGTGGCATTGTTCAAGCCATGAGTGGCAATATTTATTTTCTAAGCAAGAATAATATCAATAATCTAGTTAGTGGCAATTTCTAGCTTAGCACATCAATATATTTTTTTTTTCTAGAATAATAATCTCAATAATTTGATTAAGTGGCATTGTTCAAGCCATAAGTTTAAGATTAGATGTGTGTAGAAATATGTGATCCTATAAATATGCAGTAAGAGCTTCAATTATAATCATAACACAATTGAAGAGAGCAATTCAACCAATTAAACACAAAGTTATTCTTGTTCCCACAACTCATCTCCACTGCAATTCCTTAATTAATGAAAGTGTAAACAAATAGGTCGTGTAAATTTTTTCAAAACCTTTAGCAATTATTCCAGTCTCAAAAAGGTTTCAATTGTTCTCTCATGCCAGTTCTTTTTCATTATGTCTTTTATATTAATACACTTACCTGCATGCAAGTCCTCTTTTTGTATTTTTTTTTATATGACTCACATGTGATGTTTTATGGGGCTTTAGAGGACATTTATTAAATTTATCAAAAAATTATTTATATCATAA